TCTATCGAGCCCTTAAATAAGTTCGCCGGGTTTGGGCTGTACCATAGGTGCCAAAACTGGCTGCCTTAAAGTTAATTTCAGCGTGTAAAGCAAAATCCGTATCCGCCTTAACGGAGGTGGGTGGACCTGTAAAATTGAGCTCGAGCCACGCCCGTACAAAGGCCCTCCATATAAAGGACTCAAGCCCGTTACGCTCCTTACACTAAGATCTTACGATAAAGCATAAGAGACACACGTGTTAGCTTGTGTTGATCGTAGACTATTTCGACTCTTATTTTTATATTTGACGTTTTATCTTAAATTGTCCTACGTACGAGTGGTCTCTGAGCCACGAGAGCCACATAACTAAAATTTGCATTCTATTGGCTAACATGGCTCTGTACCTACTTATCAGCAGATTAGAACTACCACACGCTGTAGCCACTACAATTGGCTACAGTGTGTACCTACTATGTATACGTATAACAACGTGGGTATACCTGGATGCATACTATTTCAAAATGAATTTTAACAAGTCTTGTATCGGTGAAAACCCGTTACACTCCATTAAGATGGTAACCAGAACCATTACTGATAAGAGATCAATCTAGATGGCAGCGATTGGAGCTCTCATTTCCTAGGCATAGTCCAATAGTTCAGTTTTAATGTCACGGTAAAATAGGAAATCAGAGCGAGCCCGTTGTGCCTGATCAGGCGAAGCAAAAACCCGGGATATTTGCTGTTTTGGCAGATCTTATGAGGGAAAAGCCTCGTCCACCGACATGCTATACGTGATAGTCCAATCTCAGGCTCAACCACCCATTTTTGAGATAGCCATCCCAACTCTCTGTTACTCCGACCGGAGCGGAGCAAAATTATGGCCATTTACACCTATATAATCCACACGAGGATATCCTCCTCTTCATTTTCCCCAAGTAAATTAACTGTCAAGACAAGGGGGCGAGCTCTTATGCTTCATCAGGACGGGAACACAACGAGTATGCATGGCCGACGCCAAATGAGGGATTGTACTTGCCAAATTAAAGTGAAATTAAAGCATAAGAGCGTCAAGACGTGCACGAATCACGTCAGGACCTTGTGCGAGGATTAGATCCACTTCATCATTTCCTTCAAGCGCTTTAAGCTTCTTTGGTGTTAATGCTTGGGTCTCACTTATATGTATCTTCTTTCCACCCCTTACAGAAAAACAGCCTTTTAAAAAGACTTGCCTTCAAGTACTTTATAAAGCTCAAAAGGTATATATTTATGGTTCATAGGGGTACTCCTCAATTTGCCATCTATTGAAAAATCGACTTCGACAAACCCATGCTTGCATTTTTTTGCTCTCATTCTACTCGCCAGCCTTCGCTCTATACCTCCCTTTTCGGCCGTGTAGGCACCAGCCTTCAGCCTCCGACCCTGAATCACTTAAACAGTTAGACGCCTACAGCTTTTTATTTGGAAGGCCATCCCTGCTAACTGTCTCGAGTTTGCGCTAATTCTTTTTCAAAATGAATCGACTGGTTGATTCCAAGTAATATTGTTGTACGACATAAGAATCGAGAGGTGTTAGTTAGAAATATGTTCCCGGACGCTGGGCCAAACGGGAGTAATCGTTACAGCGTTTAACCTACGTAGAGTGGGGAGAACACACAGACTTAGGCTGTACTGCCACCTTAATCCGGGAAAATTTTGACCGGTGGTTGCTTAGGTATCCCTTGACAAAATTGAGCCGAGGCTCCCGTCTTCCTTGTTATTGTTCAGGCTTCGGCTGGCTTTTTTTCTCGCCCTTCCAGTATCCAGTGTTACTGCGGTCATTACATCGTACATTTCGTCTGTCCGTACCCCGCCTTTGCAGTATCCAGTGTTGCTGTAGCGTTACAGCTGGGTGGAACAGGATCTGCCCATATGTACCTTATCCTCCTATTCCGGTATACGACGTCTCTGCGTTGTCACTTTGGTGTTACTGCAGCGTTACTGCAGCATGTAACCATAAAATTCCCTACTTATTCGATTTACGGCGTTCCCACAGAATTTCTGCGGTACGTAACATTTTCTTCCCATCTGAACCTTATCCCGCCTTTCCAGTATCCAGTGTTACTGCTGCGCGTAACCGGACCGACCCAGCTGATATCTTATCCTGTCTGTCCCCATAAATAAAACTAGTGGCCTCAGCGGGATAAGAAATGGCTTTAGAACTGTCATAAGGACGCTTCTGAGGTGGATTTTTATCGTCCACTGAACGCTGTCTTCGCTAAGACGTAAACAGCTTTGCTGGATCGGGATTAAGACAGTCGGAACAAGCAGAGTGTAGCCCTCGCGGGTGTGCCTCAACAAGTCTCGTCTGAATTATGTCTGCCTGTGTGAACCCCTACTCGGGACCTATCCGCCAGCTTTTCCGATACGGAAATTGTGACGTGGCTCGGCTCGACGACCCAAACGCTGGTGTGATCGGATGGTTTTTAGCATTTGCGGGACTTTAAGACGATCCACAATGCTGGGATCAGCTTTGTGTATACAGATTGGGAGGTTTGTATCAAATGAGGCGGTACGGAGGTGACCATTTGTGGTTGCAAATTTACCGTCCAAACGCGCTCTAAGTACTCTCATTGGTACTGTGTGGATCTTCAACGCTTACCCGACGATATGTTGAATGGGCTGATTTACAATTAGTTTTCCAACCAAGACACTTCACCGGTGTATATTACACCGGCTCAAGTGATCGGGGGTCTTCGATCCCGCAACCGCCGGGTGTACTTTAATCAAAAGTCACCCCATCTTCTGTCATGTTGGACAAAAGCACCCCGCTTCACCAAATCCATTTTACCGGTCAAGGCTTTACGGTGGTGTATCACCGTCTGGGGCCTATAACCGGACTGTTCCGCTTATATTTAAGGCCTTCTGCACTAAAAGTGGTTCAGCGGAAAAGGCGGCGGCCGCCGCTATGGCTTCGTCTACATCGGACTCCGCGTCTCCAGCAGCAGCTGTTAAAACCGGTTTCAATGATAACGCCGTTATGGCTGATTTCTCGAATGACATCCCGCTCTCATTTGAAAATGATAGTGATCATGGCGATAACGCCGTTATGACAATTGCTTCCGGGTCTAATAGTAAGCCACATAGTGGGGATCTATCGGACTTGGTTTCCAGTCATTCTGGAACTATCGATGATATAGAGTCGGCGGTTACGGTCGACCCCAATTTTCTATGGTCCACCGGGAAAGAGCCCACCTTTCCGGTTGGCGCCATTGACTCAAATACCTTCACCCCCGCCCGTATTAAGCCGGCGAATTGTTTGGTCTTCGGCTCTATTTCGGCTTCGGAAACTACGGTTCAAACATTTTAACCCTCCCAATTGGAATATCCATTTTTTTCTTCACTAATTTCTACGAATGGCTCAGTGAGGGGACGAATGGCTCTACCCCTCCGGATACAGACATCTTCTTACGGGATCGGTCGGTCGACCCCTTTATTTCGGTTTAGTTCCTTTGTAGAATTTTCTGAAGTATCCAAGCGCGTCCTTAGTGCAGCGATCTACCAAGGCTCTGTGGTAGCCTTATGGCTAGAGGAACTCTTATCAGTAAATGATGATTTTGTGGGCTCCTTCGCTTCCGAGCTCGACCCGTATTGCGTTCTCTCCAACATTCAAGCCCAGCCCAGCATGTTTCGTTTTCTGCTGGACACCTAGGCTGCTAACAAGTATCACCTTTTACGGTGTAAAGTTTTCAGGAATGCTGTGTTTTGGGTCGCTTCAAATTGCCAGTCTTTTCTATCGAATGATGGTTCGGTTTTAAGGCGCCTTGGTGACTTGTACCCGGACAAGTCGGACTTTGACTGTCAGTCGGTCCTTAGTCAGCTGTGCCCGGATCAATACTATTATTGGGGCCAAGTCAAACTGGCTGATCTCGATTGGCTCTGCAAATGAATGCACCCAGCATTTGTATGGACCCACTGAAAATTGGTTCTCAAAATGGGAAGGTCGCTTCATCACTGCCTCACCCTCTTTGGCTTCTTTGGGACAACCCGACCTTGACGTCTGTAGTTCTCTCGCGCTTTTATGAGTGAATCCTCTCCACCGCGGTTCCCGATGATTTACGTGACACCCTTGACTTCTTTCAAGGGAAGGGCCACCCCTGCGGCACCCCAACTTCCAGCTTTACTCTGAAGCGTATTGGGCCCTTCGGGGATACTCGATTAATACGAACGGTTTTATTACCGTATTCTTATTGACCCTTAATTTCTTTTCTAACAACTTTAACTTGTTGGACTCCAAATAACCCGTTTTACGGGAATAAAGGGCTTTACAGGGGCGACACACCTATGACAGACTTCTTCTCGGTTCAACACCAATTTTTATTTTCAAACAACGTAGACTCCTTCACCGGGTTAGCGGGTGTTGAGCTTCTTCTTACGCCGACCTGCTCCGTTAGCAGGCTTAAGGACGTTACCTCTGCTATGCCAGTTCTCCGGATCTCCTCTCGCGTCATTTGCTGTTTCGTGGTACACTGGATTCGGCCCCTGCATACATACATGTTGTGTGTGCTCCCGTTTGATATGGGCTACGTTTGGATTTTTTTCGACCCTTCCCCGTCATTTTGAAGACTACACTCATCATATCGTTCTAGGGTCTAAAATGCAGTCCTTCCCAGACAGCTTGACCAGGCTTGCTTTAGAGATCAGGCTCGCCGTCAAGGCCGTGAAATTACTGGAGTAGATTTCGAATCTTACCATGGTAGATACCTGGCGTTTCCAGCATTTATGCCTTCTCAAGTTCACGATTGCGACCGGTTCGTCCCGGATCGACTACGTTTTTGTGAACCATCGTTTTTTCCACTGTCTATCAAGACATTTACCATGATTTTCGTGCCCAGTCTGGAATAGGTGACCATATCGATTTATCATTTCGAGTTATGTCTAATACATTTCGCCCACTCAGTCTCTAGGGGCCCCTGGAAGTGTCCGGTGTGGGTCATACAGCTACCCAAAGATCAAGATTATCTTCGGGACTCACCTACTACACCATGAACTTACGGGTTATGGGCACAAAAGAACGTGATGGCGGCGCGGCTCGCGGAGCCATACCCGCTGCGGTGGTCCATATTCAAAAGAAGACCATCGAACACCAACTGGAAGAAAAGTTGGCAGTGCCCGCGGCCGCGGCACCCGGACAAGATGATCGTCATGCTCGTAATTTGTCGGAGCGAATGTGCATGATGGAATCCCTAGATTTGGAGCAAGTCGACCGGCAGCGAAATGATTCTTTAGAGTCGAGCGTGTTTGGTGCGGCCTTGAAAGCAGGACAGGGTATAACCTCCTGGCTTTGGAGCGTACTCCTCCTCCCAAGCGGTCACCGACTGTCTCTCCGGCCATCTACTTTAGTGCCCGACGACCAGCTGTTGCTGGAACCATAGTCGATCCACCGGCTTAGTACCTTGGTGACTATGTAAGGCATGCAGGACCAGCACTTTAAGTGCAAAACGCACCGCCGGCACCGTACCCAGGTGTGGGTGCACCATGTCCGAGGTTTATTCATTAAGGTCAGGAACCCATGGGTGTACCTGACGGTCGTCAGCGCAAATTATCGTTGAGTCCATGCGATGGAAAAGAACTCTATTGTGGACTTGGTAGTGGTTTTCTAGAATGGGGCCAGGGATTCGTGCGTCAGGTTGATTTCCCCGAGCGCGCGTGCGGCTCTGTTTGGCCTGAAGAAATTAAAGTTGACGCATTTGGTCAGAAGCTTGCTGGAACGGCGCAGAAGTATTACCACCGGAGGTGGAAACTTGGTGGTCTGAGATTCAAACCTTGGAGCATGCAATTCAAAGGTCGTCAGGCTTTCAACATCAAGATGACATCCGCCCAGAGCACGAAGCTGCTCACTACAGCCTAGTCGTTGCATCGAAATTGGACGGAACATTTTTTGTATCTCACTGCTGTGAGCGATGCCTGCGGAGGCGCAGACAACTTTGTTTTGGACAAATTTGTTCACTACGCAAACCCGACTATGCGCACAACGATGCTTTCCCGTTTGGATTTGCACATGGTCGACTACTTGCGGCAAGCTAAAGAGTTAGTACAGCTTGCACAATTGACGGAGATCGACGTCCGTGTCAAGCAGCTTAGTCGTGATGTGATAAACGTTGTCGAATCGGTAAAGGATGTCAAGTAAGTCAACTTAGTTTAGAAACGGCGTAAAGACCAAGGCCAAAGGAGATGCCACCTCTGTGGAGACACGGGACACCTCAAGTCATCCTGTTTTAACCGATTAAAGAAAAACAAAATGCAGATTTTGTCCTCACAATCCATGATGCAGACGAAGATCAGACCCAAAGAACCACCAACTGGGTGCTGAGCAGTGGGTCAAGGCGTCATTTGTTCAATGACTTGATCCTGCTGGATGACATGGTTGACTGCAATCATGTTTGTTTTACCGCAGCGTCTGATGGAGGAACTTTCGAATTACGAAGCAAGGAAGCGCAATGATCCGGTCAAAGCACTTAAATTTACTAAGACCATCCAACTTCTCGATGTTCGATACGCCTCCAATTGGGGCGTATCATCAAATCATTCGGAAATTTGGTGGAGAAGGGATGCTTGCCTGAATATAGTGTAGGGAGACGTATTTTGGTCTCTCAGCCTGGTAGTTCGCCCAGCATGGATGTCGATCGAATCAACGATGCGTTGATTGTAAAGGTTTTAAGACGACATATAGACGAATTTTGCTAATGTTAATGGCTCACCACTGGAGGAGGTCATGTCGATTGTGAAATTGTGATGGAGATATCACCAAGACGAACGTTCAACATGGAAGCTTGCTGCAGTTCCATCTGTGTTTGGGTCACCTACGCTACGACATTATCGCTAAGATGGCCCGTGACCTGTATTTGGTATCGAAATGACAGATAATAAGCATGATACCTGCTTGGCCTGTGCCCAAGGCAAGCAGACGAATAACCAACAATCTCGCAAAGACAGTGATACCAAAATACTAATCGAAGTGATAGGAGAAGTCATCTGTTCTGATCTTAGACGTCCCATGGCTCCTCGCGATCGTCTGGAAACATATACCTGATCAACTTTGCTGATCATAGATCCGACTATTGCCGAGTCTTCTTGGCGAAAACGAAAGATGTTGCCGCGATGAATTATAAACATTTTTTGTCGGTATTCGAGCGAAGTTTCAATTGCCGAATCTGTGTCTTAGAATCGGCCTGTGGAGGCGAATACAAGCCTCTGGATGTGTTCTGCAAAGGCACTGGTGTCACTCGCTAGATCAGCGAGCGTGACAACTAGGACAGCAATGGCAAAGCCGAAAGGATGCATTGCACGATTATGAACATGATGCAAAGCATGGTGTTTGCAAGCAGACAACCGTTGAATTTTTGGGGTGATGCTGCTGACTATAAATCTCACATACTTAATTAAAGTCCGACTAAGGCGAATGACGGTGGGGTCTCACAGATTGAGCTACCCACCATAATAAAGACCAACCTCAGCGACATCGTGGTCTTTGGTTCGACATGCACAGTTCACTTGTACACAATAAACAAGCCGCTGGGTGCGCGTGGAAAGGCGGCAATCATCATCGTAAAGAACGATGAGACGAAGGGATACTGTGTCGACCTGTTATAGGAGCGCGTTGTCGTCGTCACGCAACATGTGAGGAACATTGGGACCCTGGACACCAAACAAAATGACAAAGCACTAGAATATTACGATGATGCTGAAGGTCAGGAGAAGTCTAAAGATGATAACGACCAACCTTTAGCAACGAGTCGCTCATCCGGATGGACGCGTGACTGACATGTGACAAGATCGATCAGCAAGAAAACGGATGAGTCGAATAATAACACCAAGAACGAAGAAGATTAAGATATTGTCAGCGTCGTGACCGAGTCAGATCCAGGGAACTACGGTGAGGCCGCGCATAGTCCATTAAACGACAAGTGGCACGTAGCGATGACCAAAGAACTGACTGCTTCGGAGTCAAATGGAGTGTGGACGGTGATGGTACCGCCCAAAAATTTACATGTTTTACACAACAAGTGGGCATTCAAGACGAAAACCGATGCCGATGAAATTGTGGAGTGGAACAAGGATATACTGGTATTATGCGGAAACGAGCAGCTATTAGGTATCGAACTCACACTAAATTTTGCTGCAGTCACGGAGCTTGACACTGTAAAGGTCATTTTGGTGCTGTCGAGTCGATGGAATCTATTATCACGCCACGGCCGTTTCTTAAACGCCTACGTCAAGGAAAAGAAGGAGAAAGATCTCAACATATACATGAAGGTGCCAAGTGGTATGCACGGGGTTGAAGCAAGCTGGACATTTTTGGAGTCAACCTTTACGCTCGAAGTTGGTTGAACTCAGTTTTAGCCAATGCACGACGGAAATATGCCTATACGTCAAGAAGATGGACGAGGCCGATCTTATCGACGGATAGCATATGTCTGTCGGGGTGTACGTCGACAACATTTCGGTCACAGGTTTTTCAAGGGAAGCTGTGGAGAAGTTTTCCAAGAGCGTAGTGTGCCTCGAAATAAAGGATCTAGGCGTCGTCAACAAGTTTCGGGGCTTAAGAATTCTGTTGTACGGCACTTGCGGATACATGCTGGACCAAGAGGTGATGATAGACGTGTGCTGAAGGACTACGGACTGGGGGCGGCGACTGGTGTTCGAACTCCTATCGACGAAGACTGCAATGAAGTAGATCATGAAGCTTCATAAATATTAGTTAAGGCAGCTGGAGTCGGACATGCGAACGTCAAGGCCTTCCAGTCACTCTTTGGGAGCCTAATTTGGATTGCGCGCTGTACACGACCGGACATCAGCTTTGCGGTACATCGTGCGACAATGCAGACACACAAACCAAGCATGAAGGACTTGGAGATGGCTAAGCGCATTGCAAGGTATCTAAAGGAAACGAAGACATTGAAGTTGTTTGTTGACAGTTCAAACAAATTAATGGACCCGGTCAAGATTGAGAGCTGTAGTGACGCGGACTTTGCAGCAGGCAAGTCGGATTACAAGTCGGTCTCAAAATGCGTGTCGACGGTGGATGGAGCAGTGACATGATGGGAGTGCAGGAAGCAGACTGTTGTCTCCCTGAGCACCACGATAGCTGAGTTCATTGCAGCGTCACAGGCAGGACGTGAGCTACTAGGGCTGAAGGAACTATTCGGCGATCTGGATATGAAGGTCGTTGGCCCATGTCGATGTGTATGGTCAACCAAACCGCCATTAACCAACTAGACAGCGAAAAGAGTACGTCAAGCGCGAAGCACATTGACATTCGTTTTATGTTCATCTACCACTACGCTCAAGCCAAGATGGTCAAGCCAAGTTATGTCAAGTACGGAGACGTGAAAATATACCAATTTTAGAAGGCACTGCCAGCGCCGCGATTTGTGTGCTTACGCAAGATGTTCAAGTTGAAGTGCAATCCGGATTACGTCGAGAAGGAGTGTTAGAATATACTCTTTCCGACAGGTCAAGAAGGTTCTGGAGGTCAACTGCAAGACCTAGTACAGGTAAGTCCGACCTCACCTGATTGGCTAATGATGTGTCGAACGACAGATGGGACGGAAGATACGGGCGCCATGTGACGGGATGAAACATGGGACCAAGAGAGACGGACGTCATGTGACAGGATGTCACATGGGACAGGGAGAGACGGTCACCACCTGAGACTTGACACGGTCAAGTTGCAATTTCCGTTTCTGGTCATGCATATCGTAGTGTTGGAGGAAGTAAGTTCTTATCACACAATATGTTCACTTTTGCTTTTACATAATTTGGACCTAATGCAATACATAATGAATCTACTGTATTGTCGTCCAACTAATCAGGAAACATCGAAAAAATTAGCGGCAAGTGCGGGCGATGATGGACTAGATTAGTGGTAAGCCACTTGTACTCGGCATGGTTCCAGGTCATATAAGACGCCTATATCGGGACTGACCACAAAGCGGAAGTTTTCTGGCGCCAGGTTTGTGGTACGTTAGCTGCGCTCGCAGCCCGGTGGTGGAACAAGGTTACACAAACGGTTGTTATAACCGGATACGCTCGTGTGGTATACACATGAAGAGACTATTTTCATTGATAGGCACACTTTTGTATCACACACGCTAAGCGGTAATACCATACCTTATCGGTTACAGATAGATAGTATCTACGGTAATAGGGTCTTCAGGGGCGGTTTAGTTCTGGTCTGGTAAACCAGAATAACCCCCTTGAGAATACTCGATTATGTCGCATGGTTTCGAGACTGCAGACGTAAGTGAATTTGATTGTCGTTACTAATCAGTAAATATACTTAATTCTCCCTCTTATCAGTTTCAAACACGGGTCTTCTAAAGAGTTGTGAGCCTGCATTAAGGCTAGTACTCTTGGACAGTAGTGCCGCCTGATTCCTTGGAGTCGTCAGCCCTCTAAACCAGATAAATTTAAGTTCATTACAATTTATCTAACAAATTTTTATAGCTATTGTATATCTTTCTACACTGGCTTGATCCGTTGAATGGTGTCGGAGTATAGAGAAAGCAAGATGAGCAGATGATTAGAGAGTTTCCATAATAAAGGGGAATCGACCCCAGGACCAAGATTTCCGGAGCGAAACATGAAATCCGAAAGATCTTGGCCTTGGTATGGGTAAAAAAATGGAAGTAAGTCGGATGGTATGAGACCATATCCAGTTCCCCATTTTCTTCAAATAGAAATGGTGCAGTGGTTAACACCCTTTGTGTGATGTAATACGGCGTGTATACGATCCCCAAAGGGTGTATCGTGGCAGTAATGTCATAATTTTACTATGGGGGACCAAATTGGGAGCTGGCGGCGAACACTTAAATGCTGTAGTGAGGTAGGAATTTATTGACCCTTGTACGACTACAGACATACGTCCCCGAGCATAGCTTGGAGTCCAAACTGAAAACCCCCGTAGGAGATGGCCGGTAGTAATACTGTAACGGTAGTAGTCGGAGGCGTTAGGGGTTCGTAATAACGGCAGGATCCTGATACCTCCAAATTTGCTTCGCAACAAGTTAATTAAATTGAAGAAACCCGTGACCTCAATAAAAGCACCGAACCCCATTCAATCGAAGAGTAAAAAAGCGGCTGAAACTGGTGAAGCCAAACTGCCCAAGCTTGGTCTGCAAAGTCGCAGAACCATCATCGGTAAGGAGCTGGCTTCAGTGCGTGACACCCATGATGACAGGAGGTAGTGGCACCCGAAGATGTTGCAAATGTATCCAAGAAAGAGCGCTTATACTGAAGTCGTAAAACCAGGTCAGCGTAAACCGGAAGTAATTGCTTGCTCATTTAATGGTCCCGACACCACATAGTAGGCGGCGGACCGGAATCCAGGCCTAAACGTGACAAAGGCAAGACCCAGGTGGTGTGCTTAACTAGCATGCACCGGATACGAGCAACGCTATATTGATCCAAAGTGTATCCGTCAGATACCCAGTCGTGGTAGGCATTAAAAATTGAGGCTTGCGAACCGGCCCAATAGAAATACCAGTGAGGGTCCCAGCAAACAGTGGGCGCGCGCCACAAAGTTCGAGCAAACCCCGATAGTGGGTCCACAACTAGGGTCAATGGACTAGAGAAACAGCGATAAGGAAGAGCCGGAAACCGGATAGCCACAAGTATGAAACGCATCACTGGGCAGTGGAGACCGTGCTTAGCCAAAAGAGTAGTCAATTGCGTTGGACGAAATGGGACCAGCCATGGAACGCCGATTCAAAGGATAAGTTTTATCCACGTTGGGACGGATTGGCGTTGTAATTTTGTCAAACTTGGACATGGAACGGACAAACTTTTTGCGCAAGCGGGTATTCCAAACGAAAAGAATCGAGTGCCAATAGGCACCCAGCGCCGACCATTATCGTGTGCAAAATGAAATAGCGTGATCTGGACTTGTCGTAACCGGCGCATACGGAATATCGAATTTTGTTCTCGTTGCCGTATAGCGTTATCGAAGAGACGTATCACTGGTAGGACCCAAAGAGGAACACCATAACCCGAGTTTTTCCGGGCATTCAAAACAACTTTGCACACCATCTGTGCTTGAAGACTGTGGAACATGTCACAGACCCGAGTAAGCCCCAATCTCTCTTGAACGGGAGGCAGAAACCACCAGTCCTTGGATAAGGCTATGTTATACTTGGACTTGTATACGAAGCGGGACATGAGCGCATTAACCTGATCTTGGAATTCGGGAGCGGGAACATGACAGATGCTGGCCGAAACCCACAGCATGGGCAAAATGATGTGTTGCAGGATAACTACCTAACCGCGAAGAGGGCGCGCCCGATGAGACCAAAGAGTATACCGCTCTTGCGTCTGCTCCAGCAAATGGTGATGCCGGTCTGCAGTATACAAACAGGAACCGTAATGAATCCCAAGCAGTTTAGTGCGTCCGGAGTTACCCACGACGTCAACACCCAAGTGTTCAAGGTCAAGGCGTAGAGGCTCCGACGAAGCTGAACAGGTCCTAGATGGCAGCACCACAGTCCTAGATTTATTGAGCCTCATGCCCGACGCGGAACAGAAGACATCCACGAAAGTGAGAAATTCCGGTGTGTGGTGGAAGTCGTGGATAATACCCGTACAGTCATCAGCAAAACTAATGACTGAGAAGGTCGAAGCACTACAACGGAGACCCCAATCCTGAACGTCGACGCATAGTAAACTGATCGAAGTCTCAGTAAACAGCACGAAAAGCGCCGGCTATAGAGGATCACCCTGACGAACACTCGCCCCTGATTCAAAAAGGGCCAGTGCACACCCCGTAAACATCGAGTGACGAGTGCACCTAGATAGAAAACCTTAAACAGCGGCGAAAAATGTGTCCAAACTTAAAGAGCATAAGCACCAAATCCAAGGCACCCCAACCCACGCTATCGAAAGCCCTGGCGAAATCCAGGAGAACTGTCCCAGCCGGAGAGTCGTAACCAGAATTGAGTTGATCCAACGCCTGAAATCAAAGATGGGCATGACAAATATTACTTTCCGAACAAACCCATGTTGATCCGAGTGAAAGAGCGAAGGAAGAATGCGATCCATTCGGTGCGCCAAAATCCTGGGCCCTAATTTTGCATTTACATTAAGGAGGGAAATAGGGCGATAATTACTTGGGGCAGAACGATTCCCGTGCTTATAAAGCAGTGAAATTTGCGCTCAGTGCTGAAACTTTGGTCATTTTCCCTTTTTGAATTTGAGCCGCATAAATCACCTCAGAGATGCGGCTCCGAAGGGAAAATCAACTTGATAGTAGCCCAATGGTAAACCATCCAGACTCGGCGTCTTCCCAGCCGCCATGTGCTTGAATACCTCATGAAAATCATTAGCAGTGAACGGTCTGTCCAAGTAAGCCCGATCGGCGGTAATCAATCTTGATTTCGTCTGCTCTTATAGTTGCAAAAGCACAAAGCGATTTCTGGAAGGTTTCCCATGCTCGAACTCCCGAGTAGGCGAGCATACAACACCGGAACTACATGTGTTAAACGTGGCATAAGTCGACTCCAATTCTCCAGCCGAGTCCACAGGAATGGGGTCTTGTGGAGTACTTAAGGTGGCTGAAAGAAAAGTTTGGATTCACGCTCAGTGGCTTGATAGTTGGAGACAAATTTCACTTTGACGAAAAGTGCGCGGACTCTTCCAGTTTGGTGGTTAGGGCGGCTTTAGCAGCAGTAATTATAAACGTTAAGCCCACCGAGAGGTCCAGAACTCGGTCATGCTGTAACCGATTAATTTTGAGGTGAAAATCTCCTATAGCGCGCTGACGGGTATTCTTCTTGGAGTTTTTAATTCGCGCAAAAAATAGAGTCCCGCCGTTTATGTTCGTCGAGTAGGCAGCCGTAAAAGTGAACATATTGTGTGATAAGAACTTACTTCCCTCAACACTACGATATGCATGACCAGAAACGGAAATTGCAACTTGACCGTGTCAAGTCTCAGGTGGTGACCGTCTCTCCCTGTCCCATGTGACATCCTGTCACATGACGTCCGTCTCTCTTGGTCCCATGTTTCATCCCGTCACATGGCGCCCGTATCTTCCGTCCCATCTGTCGCTCGACACATCATTAGCCAATCAGGTAAGGTCGGACTTACCTGTACTAGGTCTTGTAGTTGACCTCCAGAACCTTCTTGACCTGTCGGAAAGAGTATATTCTAACAATCACTTCATCTCTCTGCCACACGATTGCGTTGGCCAATTGCTCCTGACAGATTTTGTGGCAAATCTGTGTCAAAATCTGCATTAGCTGATGGCAATTTACAACAATAAAAGAGCAACTGGTGGATCGGTGTCATGTTAAACATGACATTTTGGAATTATCACGGAAAAAGGACCCTCGGCAGTAGGGATGTTAGGTTCAAAGTCACTGTCAATAACATTTGTTTTTACCAGTATAAAGATGATATGATAAGGCCTCATTGTCAGACAGGCTTATTACCAACAATTTATTTTTTCCACAGTCAATTAATTTGTCAGAAAATTAGACATTTGAGGTTGCACTGCACCCACCCTACTGTTTGTCGCCCACCCTTTACCACCTAGTACAAAAAAGGAGGAGACTTGGCACGGAAGGAACGATGGGCTGCCTTCTACGCAATCAGCTCCTAGAGGCCCATTGTTACTGCGAAAGACTTTATGCACGCCTTCTTTGCAATGCCGTTAATTTCCAACACATTCTTCGCATCTCGCAGGATTGTAAGACCCTCCACCGGACGCCTTCATTTCTGATGTGGGTGTTCTTTTTGAAAAAGTGGGAATGGCTGGGGGAAAGTCAAGGCCAACTACTGTTCACTTACATTGCAACCAGAGGCAGTGCATGGACGTCTTTGTTGCACAGGTATTCTGCGTTGCACTGATGTTCATTTGCGATCTCTCTGCTAACAGCATGACAAAGTCGTGCACAGGTGCTAGCATAAAGGCGAAGCTTGAGGCTGGAAATCTCGTCAGCAACGAGTCGAAGAAAACGTTTTGGTGCGTGCATCGTGTTTGCAGTCCCCTTTTGTTCTGCACAGTGACTAGAGAATTCCCTCCGGCACGATTTTTCTATCGCATTTTGATGTTTTCCACCCAACACGGTCTCTCTGAAAAGAGAAAACCTGGTTTGTGAAACTGCAACAATGCCTGTGAATTTTGTCAAAAGCTGGATGAATGAGCATATCTGGAAAAACGTAACAGCTGGTAAAAAGTGGTAGAAACGCTAACAGCTGGTAAAAATTGGTAGAAATGCTAAAAGCTGGTAGAAACGCTAACAGCTGGTAAAAAGTGGTAGAAACGCTAACAGCTGGTAAAAATTGGTACTAAGCGTTTAATAACTGCTAAAAACATAAAATGATTTTGGACCTAGCATCCGAACCCGGTGGATTCGCTTGCATAAATCTCCGTTTTGTCGGATTATTTTCGAAACATCCTAAAGAAAAAGCCTCAAAAACACAATGAGCTTCAAGCCGTACGCCGCCGACGCTCCAGCGGCAGTAGACCGCGCCCTCAAGCGTCCGCACTTGATCGAGCGTGTCCTTCACAGCTCCTACGCCTCGTCTTCTCTGCTCTTTATTGGCTCTTCGGATGGCACTTTACGCAGTTACGAAATGGACGAGCGGGCAAGTATCGCACGCTGGCAAGCAACTCACAAGCGGCTTTTCCACGGGTCTTGCGCCTTTCTGGACCGCTGGGGCGTGTTTATTACGATTTCGGACAGCCGTGTGAAGGTCTTTGACTTGCCGTTGCAGGTAGGAGACGGCGGCATGACAGTAGACGACACGAAGGGTGCTGTGCTCTTTGCGGTCCACGAAGAGGTCAAGACGCTCTGTGTGTTACTTCAATCCAGTATGCTCAAGGTCTTTGACTGGAAAGAGAACGAGGTGCTGCAGGTCCGAGTACAGCATGAGCTCATGGACAATCTACGGCCCGTGCAGCAGCTGGTGACGCTGAGTGAGAGGCACGTGTTTGTCCAGGGGAAGAAGGACTGGGGGGTGCTGGATCTAAACAGTGGTAGAATGCTGGATGTGCGAGACGTGAAGCAGCAGGTGGATGCTGCATTTGAGGGAGGGAAAAGAGTCTGTGATGCAGTGCCGCTACCTAGTCGGCACTTGGCTCGACGACGGCAGCATGTGATGGATTTATTGCTGTGTGGCAAACGTCAGGCGATGATTGTATGGATTAGCGAGTGTGTCAAGACGAAAAATGGAGCAAGTGAAGAGAAGGATGAGTACGGAGCTTTTCGCGACAAGGTGCTCGCGACAGATGACACAGGTCACGGCGAAACGTTGGATATGTCGAGTAGCCGATTGTGTCTGAAGGTAGAGAGAGTCATCGAGTACGACATGGCGCCGCGTTGGGTTTTTTATCATCACCCATTCTTGCTGCTTGACCAGATGGAGCATGTTGCGGTGTACAACTTTCGCACTTTGCGAATCGTTCAGACCATTCCAGTGAAGGCGCTTTACGGACTTTGTGCTGCAAGAAATGTCGTGTCTACGACGATGAAACCAAGTGCGGAAATTAAAGACGATTGCTCGGCGACTTTGATCACCGTGTCACCACCATTTGATATCCGGACACACCTAATGGTACCGGTTGCGCAGCAAATTGCTTCGTCTATGGGAAACCTCCATCTTGAAAATGCTGTCGCGCTCTGCAAGCTTTGTCCGGACGAGAGCCCTCTGAGTGACACTGAGCAACGGAAGCTGTATGCGGAGTACAGCTTCGAGCTGTTTTGGTCGGCTCGTCGAAGGGAAGCGGTCGATCTATTCATTGAAACCGACGTCGACATCATGGAAGTACTGTTACTTTTTCCACAAAATTTGCTTCCCCGCAAGGCTAGCGCCCTACGTAAAGCCAACAGTATTACCAACAAAGAACGCGTCATTGACGATGGAGATCTACTGGACAGTCTGTTCGCGCTCATTTGGTTTCTGCGCCGTAAACGGAAGGCTTGTCTTCATTCGGAAAAGGACATTTCATCGGCGGGAACACACTCATGTCGCAGCCTTACTGCTCCTGAAGAGAGTGCACTCGAACTCATCGACACCATGTTAGTCAAGTGTTTTGCAGTGGTGGCTGAGCAGGCAGAGTATGCAAAACAAGCTAAGCATGCACTGCTCGAGTTGGTAAAATGCCAGAATTGGTGTGACATTGGTGAGGCTGAGGTTTTTCTTCGAGCACATCAACAGTTCAAGGCACTGCTCGCGTTTTACTCTGCTCGGAGATTGCATCGTAAGGTGCTTGAGCTGTTGGAAGGCCTTGAGCGCAGTGCGGCGTCAGAGGCTGTCTTGTTTGAACAGAGCGAAACAGACCGGGACGAGGAACAACTGCAAAGCTCAGGAGATTCGCAATCATCACATGACTACATGGTACTTATCGCGCAGTACCTTCGAACACTAGGCAAAAAGCATGCTGAACTAGTTTTCGAGTTCTCACGACGTATCTTGTCGGAAAACCCCGCGCTTGGGCTATCGATCTTTACACAGCGCGAAGTACCCGACGTGACGACGGACATCGATCCAGCTATGGTACTCCAGCACCTCAAGAGTTCTCCCATCGCTTTTTCAGGCTCTGACTTGACCTCACCGAAGCAAATCGTCGACGATGTGGCAAAACCCGTTCTTCCATTAACTAGCAGCCGATTGCTGGCGATCGAGTATCTCACACAACTTATTTATGAGAAATCGCGTCAGCTGACACCGCGGTTGCATGACGAAGTGGTGTATCTTCTGCTGGATTCGATTCAGGCCGAGACGCCGCAACGGCAACGTCTCACCAGTCGTGTCGAAGCACAAGGTGGTGTGACAGGACTGTTACGCCGCAAGTTGCTACAATTTCTCGAGTTTCCTGGAGCTGCCTATCATCCAGAACGTATGTTAAGCCGCACACCTATCGAGATGGTGAGTGAACACGCAGCGCTTCTTTCGAAACTTGGGCGCCATCGCGAAGTGTTGCAGTTCTATGTTATCAAGTTGAGAGATGCAGCTTTGGCCGAGGCATATTGCGATCGGTGCTACGAATCGAAGGCGGCTGATTCTTCTATCTACTCGACTCTGCTACAAATCCACTTGCGGCCACGATGCCACATGGATAGTCTAGCATCCGATACTGCGTCACCCGTCATCTGTTCCCAGCACCCACCTTTGTCGAGGTTTTCCAGCTCTGGCTTGCACATTGAGGCTGTGAACGCTGTCATCAGCTTGCTGAACAAATACGCTGAACGGATTGATGTGCCAACGGCTCTCGAATTGTTGCCAATCGACGTCGCCGTGTCGCCTTTGGCGTCCTTCTTCCGTCGTGTTCTTGAGCGCCAGGTTGAGCGTTATCGTAACGGACAAGTGAAGAAACAACTGTCAAAAATGGAGAACTTCAAGGTTCGAGAGCAGCTTTCTGCAAAAAGAAAAGGGTCCGTTACAGTGTGGTCCTCGCAGTGCTGCGGATCTTGCGGTAAACAGCTTGGTGTTGGGACCTTCGTGCGTTTACCCAATGGAAACCTGCTGCATTATTCTTGCCAGTCCATCCAGTAGGTCGATGTGCCCATGTTGAGACAATTTGATTTTGAGCGTCTCAGGCTCAGTCCACGATACTGGCCAGCTTTTCGTTACACAAGACAGAGTTGTCATGAGTTGGAATCGAAGTATCTGGACACGCTCTCGCCCGAGATTGTCGAGTTTAAGACGAACTAGGACAAGCTGCGAACATGAGCAGAAGCTTCGTAGCCACTGGGCTTTGTGTTTTTGCTACCCTTGACATGATCTGGATACACCTGCCATTCGATGGTGTTGTATGATCCATTGAGTCTAAGGCTCTGCTTTGGTCCGCATATGGGGAGGTCGTCCTGATTTTTGAGGGATGAGAGCCTGGAATGTGATGATGATGATACGCTTGTTATCGGAACAAAAAGGTTGCGTCAAACTGCCCCATTTGTGGTGCCGAAAGCGCACCTGGTGTGCATCCAGTTGTAGTCATAAGGCACGTAGTTGTCAACTTCACCTGACGAGCGGTTTGCGCGAATGGTTTCGCTGGGTGCCACCGTCGCGCTTGGCGATTCGTACTGTGGCAACGTAGTGACTTGTCGCCGAGGTAGTCGACTATTGAGTATGGACGCGAGGTTTCTAGCTGCTGCACCGCATCAGCATTCCGATGAACTGCAGACGTCGGGTCAATGGGTGGTACGAGATAGAGTACCGCTCGAGGCGGGTGGTACTCATGCAAGGGAGTTGACGTTCGTGCGGAGGCGTTGCTGTTTCTGGGTAGTTCGTGGTATCACGTCTAGCTGCTGCATTTTGAACTCGAGCCGAACGCTTCAGACGAGCCAAGAGGACTGTCAGCTAATGAGGTCGTGAGTGGCAGCTTTTGGCGCCCAGCAAGGCGATAAGGAGACGACGAGATGCAGTCGTGAGGTGCTACACGAGTGGTTGGCGTGCTTTGCTCGCGCCGTAGGGTGGCCGGGTGATCGAGCAGCTTGGTGACTATTGGGTAGGTTTCCACTGGGATGCGTTGAGAGCAGAGTTGATGTCATCGGATTCTGACTCGAGTTCGGTAGATGACAAGTACTCGTCGGGATTGGGATCAAAAACGAAGAGCAAGGTCATTGTACGTCCTGCAAAACGGACAAAGTGACCGAGAAGAAACACGTTCGAAAGAGGATGCTATGATGTGTCGGTGGCGCGCTCGTTCATCTTCCTAGCAGCCTGCAGTTTTTGCGCATGTCGTCGCCCGCGATGTTGTCAATGGTCTAGTGGTCAATCCGCGCGAGTGACAGACTTGGGTTGGACGTTGTACGAGAACGAACGTACGCGCTTTAAGAAACACCTGACTTTGGAGCGATATTGGAGCTTCCTTGCGCGTGGGTTGGCACTTGTGGAAGTTGACAGAGAGCAGAGCCAATGGCAGAACAGACGAGGTAAATGGATACGAACGCATTCGAGATAGGGACGGCATGGCGAAAGAAGAATGTGTGCAATGCTTGGCGAAGACACTGGAATGTGCAAAATGCGCAGCAGGTCAACGCAGTGTGTCCTCGCAGCGATAACTCCTTTGCACGAGACGGAGGGGGTGAATCATCGTTGTGATCTCGCAAAAGCGCTTGCCCGTGCTGGGGCAGACGGCGAGACACGTGAGGCGTTGTACGACGACGACGACGGGGTACCATTGGAAGTGAGGTTTCGAGCAGCATAGTCGCTGCCACTCGTTACGATCCTCAACGCAATTCCGACGACTGGACAAGGCATTGCGAAGTCATTTCACCGTGGAAGATCGATATCAAGTCATCCTATTATTGTTATGGAGATTGAATCTCGTCACAAGATTCGGCTAACGTTTCTGTTCGTAGTACTTACAATTCAGGCTTCAAAGCCGTATGGACGAACTACCGCGAGTAACACATGCAAGATGCAATGAATGCTTTCTAAAACAAGCACGAGCTTCTCGTAGACTACCGAAAGCTAAGTTCCTGGGGGCTTCAGCGAAAGTTCCAGGCTCTTCTCGTCCAACGATGTACCAGCTGCTCGAATGCGGTTGTTCATTGTTAAAGATGGAACAACAGTCTTCGGATCGAGCCAGGCTTCGAGCAGATCGGCGAACCTGTTGGCCTCCTTCTCCTTCAATATGGTTGGGTTAGCTCCGTATTTACTCACCAGATGCAGGTTGGCAGATTCGACTTCACCCCTTCCCCTCGTAATCGCGTCTTTAACGATATCGTCGTGATACTTGACTCGTAGACCCGTAAGAGTGACGTAAAGAGCCTTTTCTGGCGTCAACTTGTGACGCAAAGCAACGCAGACGACTATCGTATCCAGCGCTTCGTATGTCAGGTAGTCGTGCTCCAGGTTCAACTTTAGGAGGACCAGAAGGTCGTCAAGTGTTTCCCAATGGAGGCTCTCGACCAGCTCAACCTGGAGTGTCTTTATCTTCTCGCCAGTGAGACCACTTAACTTCGCGGCCGACAAAATGCGTGCGTAGCTGGCCACACCACCATACACTCCTTCGAGCGTATCAAGCAGCTTGATCTTCGTCTTCATCGCCTTGTTGTACTTCTCGAGAACATCTGTCAACGCTCGCACCTTTGTGTAGGAGAAAGTCTTATTGACTTTGTGCAGTCTCAGGACGTTGACGAGCTGCTCGGAAGGTTGACCCGTCATCCATTTCATGATCGGTAGTAGCTCGATTTCCTTTGGAAGATGGTTCGTTATAGCCGCTTGAACCAAATCAGGCAGATCGGCTGCGGCTGTCTCCCCGTTCGAGGTTTGCTTGGGCACTTGCTCGTTCTCGATGCGCTGCTGTTTCTTTTTTTTCTTAGCCGACGCGACCACGCGCAGGTTCTTGATACGCTGCTCTTCCTCAGCCGCGATCATATGCTTGTATAAATTACTATCCGCATTCATCACTGAGCGCCAAGCCCGCTTGCTAAGACCGAAGTTGGGCGTCTTGGTACCGTCGTAGAGCTTACGCACGGCTAACTCGGTTTTCCTCTGAATTAAGCTCGTGGTGATCAATGCGGACGGCACTGGAACCCTTTCTTCACCGCTTGTGGTGTCATCCATCCTCAACAGTCGATTGGCAGGAGCGTTGTTTGAGTCGTCGCCAACAAGTGGAACACTGGACGAGATGTGGGCTTCCTTCGTGGAGGAGTTGGTGACCCCCGGGGCACCAGTAATGCACACCGAAACTGCGGTCGAAGCGAGAAGTACGATAGAGCAGAGACGCATCTTCGGTCCGGATGGTGATGCTGTGAAGTCCGAAGAGGAGCTGACGAGTTGCGAAATGAATGAAGTGTGACTGGCAGAGCAGAGCAGCGGTCGACAGTTTGGGCGAAACGAGTCAGAACGGCTCTGAGCTTCTTGAATTGTGATGGCTCCGATGCTTGCCTTCCCTTCATTAGACGCTCTCTTCGCGTCTGTTTCAGCTCAGAGTGGTTCTTGTCTCGATCTAGCGACCGCAGTTTCGCTGGGGTGTGCTGTCTTGCGAGAGGAGAGAGAGAGAGAGAAACAGACTGTCTACTGAACGTTATCCACATGTAAAAGACGTCTGGAATGTCCTAGCCAGGTTTGCAGCGCAAAGTGTCGGATGATCCGGTGATTGTACTTGGCTCACCACTTGAGATGACACTCATGAAGGTGTCATGCCAACAACTCAATGCATTGCCTAGGCCTGATGCCATTGATCTTGGTATGGTGCTGCTTGCACTCTCTCGTGTTAATAACGCATGTAAGTGCCTAAGCCACCACAGTCAAACTCTTGACCATTGCCCCAAGCGTTGTCAGCTGTCTTTTGACCTTACCATCTGGTAGAGAAGATACAAGTACAGTGCGCTTACCAATAACAGATGGCTGGTAAGAAAGCATGCGGTAGCCACCTCGACATATGGTCGCTGCACAGGGTGTCACAATGATTACCATCTTCGCTCGTCTGTTTATAGCATGTGGAAATCTGTCTGTACAAAAATATTTGTCAGCAAGTTCACGCACCTTTGGCTTCGACAGGGGCCGAGGCAGGGTGTTGTGACACCGTTTCAGCGTGTTTTGACAGAGTTGTCGTTGACACCACTTGCCTTCCTTTGTATTGCAGCGAGTGTGAAAAGGTTGGCAGGTAGCTGCAGCATCTCTTGATAATATCAAGTTATGTTCCTTTGTAGCCCTTGTCGCAAGCGGCTACACCAGGCAGCCGGTTGCCACGCATAGTAGCTGCGGTAGGATTTATGAATGCTGTATCGTTTGTGCATCCGACAGCAGTCAATGTAAATCTTCATATGCCTAGCATAACATCTCTTTAGACACTACAACAAGTTAATTCAGACGTCTTGTCAAATTACATCAATAGACGTTGGCACGAAAGCATGGCGGACGATGTGGTATGCTTCACAAAGTTTGCAGAATTGTATGCTGCCCAACTTGGCCACTCTGGTTGATAGCATGGGTTTTCGCCACTGCAAACGTACGATGATACAATTGTTATCAACCACATTGATAGCACTTCAGTGCAGAATAGATTCGTCAAGACTGCGAGCTCTTCTTGTACTAAAAGTTATTACCAAGATTTCACAACGTCGGAATTGCCACAGTCGGCTAAATGTCGATTACTCGCGATGTAAAATTATATGTGGAGATTAGTGGTCGCTGTTGATTTAGCGCCATGAGCTGGTGCACGGACCAGAACACCAAAACTGACTTAGAAGGAGGTAGCCGTTCATTATATAGACGGAACGCGGAGCTATCTTGAGGAGATCCTTTTGGCTAGTGGTCAGCAAAAGCCACTTTTGGGGGAAAATCGAACATTTGACAAGATCACAACATGAATGTTGAACGACGGTTTCTTGTTACTCGACACCTAAAATTGACCCAGCCGAATAAAAATTTACCTAGCAGTTTAGCATTTGCCTTTTTTAGAGTGAAATGTCGAACATGGGTTCCTCATGATACTCTTATTGTCTTGCCAGGATGTGTCACTGCAGCCGCGTGACATGTTCTTTTCGTGTTTGTTTAAGCACAAAATCGTAGACAGGGATGGCTGCTGCATAGTATTCCTTGCCAATAGAACTCGGTTGGCCTGAACAGCATAGCATTGACTTAGCGAAGCACAAATGTCGAAAAGAACTCAAGCACATGAATGTGCTGCGTTAAGCCACACGCCCAACGTGGAGTTTGGACAAAGGTTACCCTTAGTGTAAGTGCTGTTGACAAGTGCGTGTGAACGCCCCTACGATCGGCTATGAATTGACTTGACGCCAGCACGACGGCTAGTTATCGCAATCAGAAACAATTCAAAGGGCGTGCTTTAGGAGTGACTAATTATTGTGTGCGTACGTTTACGTTCATTCGGCGATGGAGCATACAGGCTGAGTTAAAAAGAGCTACAAAAGAGAATCGCCTTGATTTGTATGTCCATTCTGAAGGCGAACTATCGAGTAATATTTGGCTCGCTGACCAGTCCGTTATTTTCGGGCAGGAGCGTCAGGGCTATTTTGGCATCGGGGGCACGAGGGGCGAAATAGCTCCCAAATTTCGACCAGCGGCTTTTACGATGCACCTTGGATAAGGTCGATGTGTGCATGACAACAACAAATACCATCAACTGGTTACCGTTGAGGTTTTGGGATGAGTGAGACTTACAAACTCACAGAGTCAGTCACCACCCACTGAGGCCAATAGGTTACGTGCAGAACGGATGGACAGATATTCTAGAGGTCTACATACCCTTCTTGAAATTTGGCCCCGTCCCGGATACAATCCACGCCTCATTGCTCGATTTCCCAGGCCAAGCGCCTTAAGCCCGTTACACCGGGTGATGGGTAGTACCTCGCAAAAATCTGGTGCTCTTCGACAGTGACAGACGTGTCGATGTGCAGCGGTCAAAACTGAAAAAGCGGTGTCCTTGCAGTACAAATTGGTTCAATTCGGAGTTGCTTGCCGCCTGGCTTATAATTGCGCGCCTTATCGCTAGCTCCTATAAGAATCCTGGTCTTCCTGCTGGCCCATCATTCTTGAGCTGACCAGGAAACGAAACCAGCACCTGCTTCATCATCCCTCAACGTTACGCCCACTCGATCAAAAGACACCGACAATCCAGCGCTGGTACTTGTCATACCAGCGTGTGCGCCAGTTGTCGAGTGATGCATCGATGAGTTCATGCACAAAGTCCTCGCAAGAGTTGATATCCAAATCTGGCTGAAAGCGTGCGGCGAGGCGCTCGACAGTGTACTTAGGATCCCCGCCGAAACAAGGGAGATGTTCATTGCCATGCAGCATCATCTCCACAAGCAAAACGAATCGGTGACGATACTTCCGTGCGACAAGGAATGACCGCACGCAAAGCGACCGAAACCGACGAAAATGTGCGGAACGCGGACCGCCCATAAGCTCGACAAAGTCGGCCGTCAGCTTGAAAGGAGCCTGCTCAAAGGCCATGTTGCCCGGGTTGTTGGCCAGAATGAAGCCGAAATCGATATGGATAATATGGCCCTCAGCATCCAGCAAAATGTTGCCGTTGTGGCGGTCTTTAATCTGTAAAAGATAGCACACGATCGCATAGCCAGCCATGCTACTCACAAAGTTCGACCGAGCCCGATGAAACCCAGGCGTCCCAGGATCACCAAAATGTCTGGTAAAAAAGTTCAACAGCGTCGTGAATTCGCGATCGTTGCGTTTCAGCGAGTCAATTGATATCGTGTCCGAGATTGCCTCCACAAGTCCCGAAGTAGCAGATATGGCAATCACATCGTACGGTCGGATGAAAACAGGTACCTTGAATTCTTCGAATACCTTCGCAAACTGGCGGATCAGTTGCAAAGCCAACTGTTCCTGACGGAGATCGTCATCGCTTTTAACAATCACAGGCAACAATCGCCAGCCTGGAAGCTGTCCGTAGGGGGATGTCGCTTGAATACGACGTTCCTTGTCCGCCCATCGCTCCTTAAAAATCACGCAAGGTGGCTCACCTCCCACAGTCTGACGACACTTCTCAGAAGGCAGACCAGTATCCTCAGCTTTCTCAGCTTCCTCAAGCTTCGAGTCACGCTCGGTCAGATCTTGCAAAAATTGATCAGTACTGTCAAGGCGTACAAGATGATGAGCTGAGCACGCCGAGCTTTCCGACTGAGGCGACTGCGCCGTGTCTGAATGTGGTGACCACGGCCCGCTTCCATTGCTCTCCGAGTCACTCACACCAACGTCTGTGGAAATGGGCACGATAGATGAAGGAGCCGCGAATTGAAGCCCCGGTGGACTCGTATGAACGCGTTCTGTTTGCTTCGAGAACGCACCTAAGCTCTCAAAAAATGGCTGACTCTGACATCTTTCAGGCAAGTTACGAAAAGAAGAGGTCGTGTCCTCGTCATACTCGTGACTTTCCGCCTTACTCAACAAAGCCTCGTCCTTTGAATCGTAAGTCTTACTCCCAGAGTTCTTACCGGCAAGCGAGTTAAGTAGACCATGCAGCAGCTCTGTTGGTTGTGCCATCTTGTTGGAAATGTGGTGTGAAAACGACCGAAGTCTGGTTGGGCTGTTGAGTATGCGCGACTCACTCCAAAACCCAAGCTTAGAAGCATCGGGTGACATCAACGGCGTGCACTCCGCAGACGCGCAATTTGAAGTCGAGTCTGGATTAGTACCAGCATCCCACAAACCCAGCGTGAAGCGACGGCCGTTAAACATACTACGGCGGCCTTTGTTCCGAGCGGCGTGCTCTTGTTGAGAAGACGGGTAGTCCACAACCTCAGCGCACAATAAAAATGGTACACGTTCCCGTGTCGAAAAAGTAAAACTTTCGTCGACATGGATGTGCTTCAATCGATGATAGGAGTTCCCGACCGGAAGATAAAGCGAATTGCTGGGCAAGTACTGAGCTTCCAAGTCTTGCAGCCAAACACGAAGCTGTAACAGACATGACACACACGACGCATACTTGATCCGTTAGTTTCACACGCGCTTGCCCAAGCGTAGTCAAGTCAAGCCACGACCTACCATGTCGTTGCGACTGTTGTACGCTACAGCACGCAAATTCGACGACACATTTGCTAAAGAGCGCAAAAATGCGGTCTCGAGCTCGAAAGGCTCAGTACCAGGGATGTGAGGCATACTAGGTAATGTAGAGCTCGCTAGTCCTCTCTCAATATCATTCGTCTCCTCAAAAGTAGCGTAATGGTCATCTCGCAATCCAGGCAACAGCGCTTCATCTTCTCGCGAATTTTCACCTCCGTCTGAATCGCGGCCTGCGCCCAACTGATAGAGCTCCGAGTTAGCCGGACTTAGCGGACCAGCAGATGCCACAGCTGGCACGGCACCATACTCCGCTACATCTTTGATTAATTTCTGTACACGCTGCACATCAGTTTCCGAGACAAAAGCTGGGTTTTTTAGGCAGCATGACTGCAAGTACCACAGCATTTTGTGTGCAAACACGTACGACCTGTCAGCAGTAGCATTCGTTAGCACGTTCTAGCTAAACCTCCTAGCACCATTCACTGCTACTTACACACTACATTTCCGCAGTAGCATTGTATACAACTGTGGAGATCGTGCAAACGCTCCTAGGAGTAGAAAGCCGCACAATTGCGGTAGATAAAACTCAAACTCGCCTTCATCTTGATCCGATGACGCCGCCAATTGATCCACGGCACCGTCTTGATGAGCGTAAAGTCTCACCATTGCTTCAAATGTCGTGTCCTTGTGCTTTTGTCGTCCAGCCAATTGTTTACCGAGCGTGGCCCACTTGGACCTCCACTTGGCCCGCGGCGTCTCCCCCAACACATCCCTCAGCAGCTTGTCATCGGACAACCTCCCACGACTCTTGTTAAGCTGTAGGATGTACCCCAGCTGCAGCATCGTGCTTAGAATTGCCATCAAGCCAAGCGCAATAATGTAGAGACCGCCCCAGGAGACCCGACGGTACTTGGAAAACGTATCAACGTGCTTGCCATCCAGATACAGCAGCAGCTGCAGCGAGCCCAGAGCACAGACTACGACTTCTACCAGCGAGACGACGAAGACAAAGCACCGCGTCGACGGCACGCGCTTATTGCGACGTCTGATGTACACAAACAGGAGCAGACGGAGCACCGACAGCAGCGCCTGGAGCGCCAACGACTGATGAAACTGCAGTGCAAATCGCACGTCAGAGACAAGAAGAGTGTAGCCATTTGAAGACGTGAGCGGGACCACGACGTACACGCCCAGCACCAACGTCTCGACGGTGAGCGCGAGCAAGTTAAACAGGCCCATGGCAGGCCGACCGAGGACTGAGGTCGGGTGGACCTCCTGGACGGTGATTGGGTAGCGAGCGACTCATTTGCACCAATCGCGGGGCTTAATAAACACCGGTCTCTCCGGTCCATCAGGCTGGTTGTTAAATGACTGATTACCTGACTGACTGACTGCTGCTTGCTTACACTATAGGCACCTACGACTCTCTCGACAAAGGTCAGTACGGACGCGAGCGCCGATCCGCGCGGTCTCGAAAGTCACGATCACCACCGCCTCCCCCTCCATTCCCTCCGTATCGACTGTATCCACCGCCTCCACCTCCGCGACCACCACCGCCGCCGCCGTACCGATCTCCGCCTCCAGAGCGTCCACCTCCACCACGACGACCGCCTCCGCCACCGCTGCCACCACCGCCTCCATACCATCCACCTACAGGAGGTTCTGGCTTACCCGCTAGTTCCACCTTGATAGTTTGCCCACGAACGTCCGAACCTGTGTACAACATCCTTGCATCAGTCAGTACTCCTCGATAACAATACACAAAAGCAAGACAGACAGACAGACCGTTGAAAAACTCCGGCGCCGTGCGTGCAGCATTCGCGTCTTCGTACGTGAGGACAGCGTCTCCTTTCGGCTGTCCGTCTGCGTCCGTGTAGATCTTGATCTTAAACGGCCATTGGTCTTTGAACCCGCGCTTCTGCTTCTCGCGCGCGACAATGCCAATGGCTCCAAACATCTCCTGGAGCTCGTCACTTGTCGCGTCCGACGGGAGATTCGAGATGTAGATACGCGCCCACGTCGGGTCCGCCAGTGCCTCTTTGGCCGGATCCCAAGCGCCAGACGCTTTTGGTTGGCCCACATCGTGCCCATCAGAAAGGGCGACGGCGTCCACGTCGCGCCCCCCGTCGCGACTGCTACTGCCGGATTCAAAGCGAGGTGGCGCGTCTCTGTCACGGCCTCCGTCACGACGGTAGGCGTCTCGGTCCCATGGCTGGTCACGGGACGACTCTCTGCTTCGGTCGCCACCGTACCGACTGGAGGACGAGCCCGTGGAGCGCTCGCCGCGGTCGCGATGATAGCTCATGAGCTGATCTAGGTAGGAGTGAGCAGATGTCGGTTGTCGATGCTGTGAATGTAGCCATGTTCGTGGAGGTGTTTTGTCTGGGGCAGGTCGCGAGAGAAGCATGCCGGTTGATTCGCTGAAATTCGGTTCAAGTTACGACACGTTACTGGTGGAAATCAGGGGTGTTCTGCATACTCGTGATTGGACAAAAGCGAGTGGTCGAAACTGGACGTCCAAGCTGAATCGTTTCTTTCTTCTTGGCTCGTGTATGTGTGTAATTTTTGCTCGTTCGTGGCTGCTAGAATGAATTTTCCACCAATAACTGCCCGTCTTTTGGACAAGCCCGCCTGCGACAACTGAACCCCCGGTTTTTTATTATTATTGTATCGGCGCGACGCTGCTATACGGAGTTCTGACCTAAGCCGAAGGACCGATTTGAGAACAGGAAGACGGACGAGAAGCGTTGGGTCGCCAGTTGTTGATCATGGAAGAGAAGTCGAGGAAACCCGAAGGTGTGTGTGTCGCAGCTTTCATGCCGAAGTCGGTCGGTGGTTGTTAACGGACTGAGTACGACGTGATTGTAGACACGCCTTTTAAGCAGCAGAAGCTCAAGGCGTGGCAGCCGATTCTTACGCCAAATTGGGTCATTGGCACCTTTGCTGTGGTGGGTCTCATTTTCATTCCCATTGGGGTCGTGCTGCACTCCGAGTCGGACAATGTACGTTCGCTGTTATGGATGTATTCGTTTTGACAGGATTTGGTACGACCAGATGTAAAAATGCTGGGGCGTATTACTTGTTCCAGGTCGTCGAATACTCGATCCAGTATGACGGAGTCGACACGACCCCTTCCTCGAACGTTGTGGACATTGGCAGTGGCTGCTACTTGAGCGAAGAGAGCCAGGGCGACATGTTTGACATACAAGAACATGGCTGCCGGATCATTTTCACGATTGCAAAAGAGATGAAGGCGCCCGTGTACTTGTACTATCAGCTTGACAACTTTTACCAGAACCACCGGCGCTACGTGCAAAGCCGCAGCGATGCACAACTTCGGGGGGACGCGCGAGCTAGTACCAGCGACTGCTCGCCCCTGACGACCTCTGGAGTTGGTGTGGCCAAGTACAATTCGACAGCAGTGACGCCCATTGGCAACAATGAGACGAACTACAGGCTCATGCCCTGCGGATTGATCGCGAACAGTTTGTTTAACGACATTTACTGGGTGAATCGGCTGGAGGCGGGCGGTCGAACGTATTACCAGAACGACACGTACCAGGGCAAGACGCTGGTGAACTTGGTGGATCAGACAGGCATTGCGTGGAAGTCGGATGTCGAGACCAAGTTCAAGAATATCGATTTGAATGCTCTCGCGGATCCAGACAACACCATGATGATCTGGCAGAACCCACGCTACCGCTACATCGTGCCTATGTTTCAAGGTCAAGCACCTATTGCCAACAAGACGGCGTGGACAACCAACGCACCTGCGTTCGGCGTTCAGGATGAGCACTTTATCGTCTGGATGCGTACGGCCGGACTACCAAGCTTTCGTAAACTCTATGGCCGCATTGATACCGATCTACCGGCGGGCTCGGAACTCGAGTTCCTCGTTTCTAGCAGTACGTATTGCGTGCTATCCGTCCTTGACTCGAAGGAGGGACTTGTACATGATGACCTTTGTGTGTTTTTGTTTTTGTCAGACTTTGTGGTGAGCACGTTTGAAGGCAAGAAGTCAATTGTCATTTCGACAACGTCATGGTTTGGTGGCCGAAACCCGTTCCTCGGCATCGCGTACATCATCGTGGGTGTGCTCTGCATGGTGCTGGCCATTTTATTCTTCGCCAAGCACAAGCTCAGTCCGCGTAAGCTGGGTGACACGCGGTACTTGGTGTGGAAGAACAATCACTAAGCGGCAGGACGGCAGGGTGTCCAGGCGCGGGACAACGGAGCTGTTAGCTCGTGGTTGTAAGCGGGCTGTAGGTGTCCGCTGTGCTGAGGAATATCCCATCAAGCGCTCGCTGTTGTTACCATTGTATTTTCATTTACAAGTTCATAGCTGAGGCTTCACATAAGTTCTTGTACAGAAGGACAAGAATGAATCTGAAGATGCGCGTGCAGGACTTTTTCACCTCAGCTGTTCAAAGTCTTTCTATTCGTAACTAGAATGGTCGCTGACGAAGTTCAGGTGCTCTCGAGTCGATATGAGCTACCAGATTAGATCGAGCGGCGAACGTTCGAACAAGTCCATCAAGCTCCATAGCTCGCGATGGTAGAACCCAAGGTTTGAGCCATAAGCGTGTGCGAGTAAACGATAGCAACCATCTTTTCGTTCCACTGGCCGCAATTACAGCATCCTGACGTGCTTGTTGCGAGTCGAAGCTTATGTTTGTTGTTCGCTCCATGCAGCCTGCTGATGCTTGACGAAGTGCCATTGTTCTCGTCTTGATTTATGCGAGCAGCTAGTCGTCAAAACAAAGCCCGTGACGGCTCAGATTCACAGCCGTCTGTGTAAGGCTGCAAGAAATTTCTTGTCATTGTGACCTCAGCAACATACACTGAGATCTGGAGTCGAAAATAACAAAGCTATTCAGCGGCGATGAATGCTTCGCATCAGCGATTCTGGTCTCATTTCCGTCTTCGTGGAGTAACAATAACGCTCATATCCACAAACCCGCACGTGTCAGTATCCGATATTGGGTTGCTCTCCGAACCGCGAAGTGTCGTACATTTCTAAAAGCTGCTCACAACGTCTTTGCTTAGGTACAGTAATTTAATCCCTTTGTTCAGAGGGTAGAGGGACCATGATTTGATATATCCATTTGCCAAGGTACTTGCCGACGACGAGATCGAGTGGCCAGGTGTACGTAAACTTACCGACTTCAACCGATTAGTAAAAAATCGCCGTAACGTCCAATGCCTGCGCAAACCCTTTCCAGATGCTGCAACTTCAGCAGCGCATGTCTGTCCAAGCTGTTCAATCCCGGTTAAACCTACAACCTCCTGCTTCGGGTCGAATACGAGGTGATGAATGCCGACTACGCAGTTTGCGCTCTTTTTCTGCCAGGTGAGAGTACAATAATGTGTCTTCCCGTATACCACACTTCACATAGAGCACTAAAACTTCTCGTTTGTGGACTCCACAAGCAAACAAAAATCCGAATTAGGAGCCCGGAGACTCACTTGCTTCGGTTGGCGAGAGCTTAGCTGTTCACAAAAGACGACACTCGTTTTCGTGCGTTTGCACAAATGATCCTCACATTTAAGTGGTAAAGCAACAACGCGGTCGTTTATCGGCTTCTGAACTGTGTGGCTTCTGTAAAACGCTTCATCCACACTTCACGGCCTACGCTGGCAGGAGCGCGGAAGCGATACATTCGACGGCTCGCATCGGCTGGAACCAATTTGATCTTGAGTTCGTCAGTTCGGCTGCGCACAACGCTGTAACCACTAATGCTAATAGGCTGTTCAAGCGGAGGTCCGCGTTCTTCGTACTCGCTCTTCGACTTGTAACGTGTAAGCGTTGCATGCTTGAGTACGTAAAAGTATTGGCGCCACCGCGAAGTAAAAACATGGCCTTTCTCATAGCGCTCAAGGTAGCCAGATACCATACGGCCTTCGTCAGCAACCCTATCCACTGTGTCAATCGTGTGCCTCGTAGCCTGCATCGTGCTCTGGTATAAAGCTTGCTGGTCAGCCAAGGCGCGTTCGATCTGCGTCTCTATGCCAAGAATCGCACCCTCAAGTGAGCTTTTCTGCTCAGCATGAGATCGTTCGATTTCGGCGATAGCTCTTCTTTCCTGAAGACTCCACTCTGTGTTTACCTTAGTAATACGCTGCACCTGACGCTCCTTGCTCTTCAGTGACTCTTTCAATTCCTCAATACGGCGCTCTTTTACCTCACAAGCTGCGGAAAAGCGGTCGTGCTCTTGTTGAACCAAGTATCGCAGCTGGCTGCGGACGGGTCCGTGGAAAAACCCACCGAGGACTTTTGCAGCCTGGGGACCACGCGACACAAAGTTGTACTGAGACACCATTGCCTCGAGATTGTTCTTGTACGTTAGCATCTCCAACGGTACTCGCGTCAAAGCGACAGAACCACTCACACTCTTCTTGTCAACGAGCATTATCGAGGATTCAGTACGACCTCGTAACTCCTGCTGCGCCACCGTGTCGGTCTCGTTCTTTTGCAAGACCACTGAATGCAGATAACGAAGTAATTCGCCACAAAAGACAGCCGATGAAACTTCATTCGCGCGATCAAAGCGCCTTCGCACACGTGCTAACTTCACCCACAAATCTGTGGAATCAAACGGGCAAGAAAGATCAGAATTGTACGACGCGGGACCTCGCAAATCTACAAGAAATGGTTCCAATACTGCGTTTGCTTTGTCCAAACCATCCGCATGCACCGCATTCAGCACAACAGTATCTACGGGCATCATCTCACTGGGAGTGTTTAAATACTCCGAGGGAACCAAGTAGCTTGCGATACATGCCGTGCACCGTGCTAGCAGTTGCTCAGGAGCTCCTGCTGCCTTTGGTTTCACAAGAAGGTCGGCCTCTGCCTCATTTACGTCCGCCAAAGTGCCACCACGACTATCAGGGTAATTTTCGGTGGTTGCTTGCCCACCAACTCTGCCCGACGTGTTCCAACGGCTAGCTGGAAGCCGTGAAACCTGCTTGCTGAAAGCACGACCAGCCCTGTTCTTCAGAAAGCTAAAAAGGCCCGTATTAAGCGGTGCAGTTGCTGGTGATGTCGCCATATTATCCCTTCCGTTGGCATTCTCTTCAGACATTTGATGTGTTTTCAAATTACCAAATTCATCGAAAGCCGAGTAGATTCCCGGTTCTGCGTCCGCAACATCAAGCTGCTGATTATTCTGCAAGTGACTTGACATCAGCTTTCGTTCTGTGACATCCACAAGGTACTCTGCAGTAACAGGCGTTCGTTCATACACCGACAACCTTGCATGTAACAAGTCGCAGTACGCTTCGTAGGCGCGCTGTACTAGTTCCTGCCAATGTGTAGCAACTACATTTGCCACCACACGTTGCAGCACTATTGAAGATCCATCAGGAGCTGCCATGACATGTGTCAAGGATCTGATAAGCCGTACGAGCAGAGCCCCGTCCATATAGCGTCCAAAAAAGGATTTACAATCCAGTCGGTCAGCTACATGCGTCAGCAGCTTCGGCGACGTGTGCGGGAGATTCGGTCCCTGGAAAGAAATGGATTTCAGCACCACACAGTCTCGCACAGGTACAAGAGCCTTCAGTAGCAGCTGAGCATCCGTCGACCCGCCGGCCAATTGCTGCTCGAAATACGTGGACGGCGAGTCGCAGCCGTTCATATCCTTGATCTTGAGGTCCACAGCGCCCCACGTAAGATGTGGCGTCAGCTCTTGCAACAAAAGTTCATTTCTATCAGTATCACCATCTCCGTCTACCACCTGCAGCCGAGCAAAGTCCTTTAGAAATGGCAGCGCTGTCTGGATCTTCGCAGCGGAGATCGCTCCATCGGTCACCACCACCACGTGTGAGCTCAATACAAAGACCAGTGAGCCCCAGAATGACTCTTCAACGAGCGAAACTCCTTGCAGTACCAGCAGCAGCATATTGGCGTTCTGTTTGGACACAGACACGGCGCTAGGACTCAGAAAGAGACCGCGCTCCGACTCTTCGGTTGATTGGCTGTTGTCGGTAGCGTAATGGACACCCACAAGCGCCACTTTCCGCGTCAGAAGCTTCGCACCTAAGAGCACGTCTATACCTGCTTGATGCAGCTGGAAACCGCTCCCATTTGACGCCCTGGAGCTCGTGAACAGCGGTACCAGGTCCGTCCCGCTTGCCATGATTGACCAATTGTAAAGTGCCAGTAGCGTAGAAAGGGCAGGATAATACCGTGGGGTGAATTTGGGTATGGATACACTTTTTGGGTCGAGATAGTAACTACAGCATTTTAAGCTCAAACAACGACTGCTGTTACTTGACAGCTGGCCCTAATTAGTAAAGTGTCCCGGCACATTAGAGACCGACCTTTTCTATGGCATGTGTAGGCAAATTCTGAGACTGCTGTTATAGCAATTTTTCAGTTTGGCCTCTAATGTGGAAGCTTGCCAGCAAGTGCTCTGATTTGAGACTGGTCCTTTGACGGCAAATTCTATGCTCTAGTTGTTAACAAACAATTGATGCGGACGTTTATTAAGTGACGATTTTATGTGAACGGCAACTTCAAGTTTTCCGTGTTTTACCAACATCACTCCAATGTATCGCGTCTTGTTGAGCACTTCTTGATTGACTGAGGATGCAGACGGATTGTGACGATCCAAGCCCGCGCCAACAACATTGTCCAATCACGACCGACGACAACATTACAGCGACCTGCTCCTTAGCGAAATAGTCACACCTTGCTACGTCGGTATTGTCATGTTGTCCTTACGAGGTACCACCGTATACGCACTGGTGGCATCGTAGAAGATGCTCGGTTCGTTTTAGCTTCCGGGTGACGTGGTTGAACAAAATAAGTTCGAACTTCCTGTTGACGACAGTTCAACTTAAGAAATTCGATTTTCCGGTAAAACCTCTATAGCTTATTCACATTAGCTAATATGACCAAAATCAAAATAGGCGATCCTAGCTGCTACTTTATCGAGGAAATTGCTGGATTTACTTCCTTTTGCTTAGATTTACTCTACGTTCTTAAACAATGAAGCAAGCATCCGATTTAGCGTATTTTGATTGGTCAATTTCAAGTGTCTACTGTGCCTAAAATTTGAGTAAATTAGCCATTTTTACTGTGTTCACCCCCCTAAAACCAAAACAGAGTATATTTTACAACTTATTTAGACTCAATGTATGTCAACTATTAAATTATTCACGCGCATAACCATTCACACAATATCACGGCAACACCCGAAACGATCTGCACAAAAAATGATATGGGCTGTGGATTTTTGGAATCGATTGTTCGCCAACTAAGCAATGTTCATGGCTCTTCAATTATAAGCAAGCGCTCAATTTTCACTTTCGATTTTCAGGTGCAATTATCCACAGTTTGCTTGAATGTAATCTTCATCGAACGACTGCTGGAAGCACGTTCTTAAAGCTTCCGACGCGTTTAGTGCTTCTTAGTTATCTCCGACTTGCGCTCACTCATGGAGTCTACCGCAATGTTATCTTCCAGCATGCAGTACTTTGCGTCCGCAACCGCACTGTACTATGAATTAGAAGATTCCTGACTATTGAAAAACTTCGAAGAACCTTCTACACAGCGGTAAACAGCCGCCTCAGGTGTCGCTCGTAAGCTAGATCGTACTGATGTTGCTCTTTGGATTCTCATTTTTCGTCGGATTGACGACGCGTCCGCTCTCTATCTTTGTGTGCGCCAAAATTTTCCAACTCAGCAGTCGACTCTTCGCTGCTGGCTGTGCTACTACTTGCGTCTCTGATGATACTCGGGAACTGATAAATACATCGAAGTGTTGAACAAACTACTGACATGAATATTTCTTCAATAATGATATTGCAAATTCCCATGGAACCGGCATCAATATCAGATACTACAACAATAAATGTGATCAAAATTTACCTGGCCTGATCATTTATCACGTGATGTGTTAGCGACAGCAACGGTCGATCTGCAACATTCCTTTTCTGCAATATCCCCCGAAGACCAGAGACGTGCTTGTCATCAGCTTCTTCTTTCTTTATCAGATGCATCTCATGTAACAAGCTCTAAAGTAAAGTATATAGTCCAACCTATAAGCAATACGTAAACTGGCAAACACGCGACTTGTGACCTCGTGCACCGCGATGTATGTAAAAATAGAAAACAACCGATTTTTTGGTTTCGGGGAGGGGGGTGAAAAAAGGAAAAATTGGTGAAAAAATCATTTCCATAAATTATTTGCTCAATCGAATTTTACTTTTACGAAACAAGATGCAAGTGTTATCTAAATCATAAAGAAACGTTTTATGATTATCGAAGACGTAAATCCATGAGGTATACTTCCTTTATATCAACATTATAGAAGCTGTACGAATGTTTTGTGCAACTCAAATCTGGTTTCTTTGAGATACGGAGACTATGTAAATTCGATTGCCAGCAAAAGGTGTACAGGTAAAAGTGACCGCGGTGGTGTGAACGTGTCCTACGTGAAGGATCAAAAGCGATATCAATAAGTAGGCGTCGCAGCTGCTCTTATTTCTCTTTGAGACCTATTCGAAAAAAGCAAAAGATGGAAAGTGATGGAGATAGCGGTCTCATAATCTATATATTCCTCTACACATTCAACCAAATAAAATCCATGGGCATGCAGGTAGTAAAAGGAGAGAATCAATCATACAAGTGCCAAGTCGATTGTTATGTTAACACAAAGCATGACGAATACTGATAAACTTACAAAATTAAAATGGGTATTCTATAGACCGCACGATATACAGTGCGCGAAGCTAGCATCATGCATTGAAAGCTCTCGTATCCTACTTAAACATCTGTATAAATGACAGGGTATACCACGTTTCAGCAATTTATTTCAGCAATTGATTTAAAATCGTCACTAACCTTTCTTGTGAGGTGAGTGTGAAGCTTAAAAACATAAACGATCACATTATGGTGTCTAAACGCACAGGTGGTACTGCATCCTCGATTTTCATATCAACAAAATCACAGCATAGAACACGCCGTTTTCATTGGATTGTTTCGGCTATGGGGATGCAAAAAACAAGTCGCCATAAATAGTTGGTAGCCGCAAATCAGAGGACAGCCTCAATATCAGTGGATAGCTGTAAATCAGAGTATAGCCTTCTAAACGTGAGAACGGCCTCTCGAACATATTTCCTTTCTGCGCAAGTCCTCTTATAGTCATAGCTGTACCGCGGCCAAATAACAAATTCTGTACACACTAGTTTTCACACATTTCCTGAATACCACATACCTTCAAACCAACTACAATGAGTGACTTTAATCGGCTCTCCCTCAAATTTGTATCAGTAGAATCATGTCACACTGTAGAGCTTGCAAAGAAAGCTACTCAAGCCAACGTATCCAGAATGGCTTTGCGATCGCTGTACAAAATTCGGCAAAATGGGGTTGTCTCCCATGTATAAGGAAGGGTTTGGATGTGATGTGCACAGAGAGGATACATATGCATCCGGTGACCTAGATAATTAGATTTCATTAAAAGGTTTACAAAACAAATGGGCTGTGCTTACGCGTTTGTTTACCTACTTTCAAAGACGAACAGTTAATAATGGCTCCTCAAAAAAGGTGCAGTACCGTGCCGTACTCTCACCTTCTTGCTGTGTTCTAATAAGCAGGTAAAGGTGGAACCACGACCGGAAGCGGCCACTCCTTCGGCATCCATGTTCTCCAATCTTGAAGGGGATCCTGCGCTGCATGATTCTCATCTACTGTTACATCGCTGTTCATTTCGCTGCTACCTTTGTCGTTGTGCGGGGACCAATTACGGTGTACTTGCTAAAATTCTTGTCGCGAGCTTGTATCTTTCACACTTGTATTATTTTACCTCGCTCGGCTACTGTTAAGATTGATACGATAGACCAATTTGATCATTCAGTTATTTCCATCGAATCCGACTACTCTGATCATCCAGTTTTCCTATCCAAGTAAACTAAAACGTATTCCATGTTTTGGTTGTCCATTCTCACGCTTGTAGTTTATCCACTAGGCGACATGCTTATTTTTTTACGATCACCCTTTTGGCTACCGCCGTCAATAAAGTTTTCTTACACACTGTTGGAGGGTCGTAGCAATATCAAACATAGTAAGCATCTCCGCTGATGTGAAAGTGGACACCAAAAAAGGTAGCCTTTCATATTTAGCTTGAACAACATCATTTGCTTTAAATGTTTACTCGATAAAACAGGAGACTAGACATAAGTAAAGAATACTGGTTTAAATAATTTTCTTTGGCAGATCTAAGAATTTCCAAATAAGTGGTCAATAAATTGAAATACCTCATCTTGCAAAACAAAAATTAACACCAAATCGTTAGCAATACAATAATATACAACAAGAAGAGCGGAAATAAGAGAATTACTTACCAAGGTGCATAAATTACAAATGGAACGTAGAACTAAGTTAGAAGGGTGGCCCCGACCATGACGTAGGCATTTTTGTACTGTAAAATAATCAACAGACATTATTTAAGACAAGACTTGTTTCTAATAGCTACAAGGCCGCTCTCAGTGGCTTCCGCCTCTATGATAAAAATTTGCGGTGGTTGATGTCGCAAGCACAATTAAATGGGTGCGTTATTTCCTAGTGCAGCTTGCATGCCAACGCGTGAAAACAGCATCTTCTTGGGCGTTATCTTATCAGCTCCAATAAATTTGCCAGTTTTACGTAAATTGCGACATTTCTATAGTGTTGTATTTTTCATGCTGAATACATCACAATTATTTATCTATAGAGTGCTTAAGACCCGAAAAGTCCGTCCAACGCAGGCCTACACGTCCATTACTGCCGTTTGTGCTATCAATGATAGATGTACACTAATGCACTCCGCAAGAGAACTTATGTTAGATTATGTGCTCTTCGGCTCCAGGAATTTATATTCTCTTGCTTGCGTTGCCGATACAATGTCTTAAGTATCAAATCTGTAATGTTATTACCATACAACCTCTAGGCGCTGTTGCAAAGATTTATCGTTACTTGGTTACTTGCCCTCTTATTAATGGCTAGATGTGCGATTATGTCAGCCACCTTGTTAAATATCCTATAGTGATGCGACTAGTTTGCCACTTGGACGAGAACCGCCAGTGCGACGCATTGACATTAAGCTCCGTGAGATGTGAAACCTTGTGTGACGTCCTGATTATTTTTGACCAA